TACGAAAAATTCAAAGAAATAAAAAATTTGATGTAAATTATTTTATTATTTTTTATTATTAATCAAATATCATTATCATTATCATATTTCATATTGTTATCATATCGGAAAATAAATTTAAGTTCCGTAATACGTACATGATTTTGGTGGCGATACTAGGTGGGTGTATTTTAAATCCGTTCTGGATTTAAAATATATCCGGACAACGTGTGTAACTCACGTGTATAAAATTAAAACCAATGCCATATAATCCAGTTATTTATAGCACGAAGCAACTCATAACTACGGTACAATAGTGTTTCGAATTCTAGTGAAACGCTACCGTGCTTTACTAGAATTAGAACACTATGGTACCTTACCGGTATTTGCGCATATGATCTGCTCGGTTGAATTTTGCGCACCTTCAGTGTTTAAAATCGACTAATAATAATTTCAAAACAATAACTAAATTTTTGATATATAGATTCTTATTATAAACTGTGGCGTCGCCTAATCAAGAAAAAATCAGTCATAACGCGCACGGCTTGGTCCAAACTGATCTGCAAACTGATCAATCTCAAGCCAAGCCACTGGTCTTCCATTATAAAGGTCTTCAAAAATTAAAGTTTATATTTTATTTTATAAAAATAAGGAAAAAAGCAAGATATGATATTGGTTTCTTTTTTGTAAATTTTTCCGTATGTTAATAAAATATATATTATTAAACAATCGATTTTAGAGAGGAACACCTATAAGATCAGTTGCCATCACGTTTATGATAGTGTTTGTTCAGTCTAAATTTACTGATTTGACTAAACCGATATTTAAAAATCGGTTAAAGAGACTATGCTAAGTCGATTGTTCATGGAAATTTATATAAGAATATGAATTACGGAATTATAAACTTCAACTCGAAATAATGATGTAAGCTATAGATTTTTTTTTCTCAGCCCGATGACTTCGCTATAATGAGAGTAGGTTGGATCTCGAATTTTCCGGTCCAATTGTATACTCGTATTTTCCCTGACTGTTTCTATTTTGATTATGATCAAAGCACTAAAAAATAAGCCAATTACTATAATTATCTGTAAAATTTCGCGATAAAGGTGTCACATATGCAGATGCAGATGACATACGTAGTGATGATCACTAATAAAGATTTTTATTAATAATGAGCGATTGTAATAGCAAATAGATATCATTTGAACCAGTGAATATACACAAATAAAATTACATTTATTAAATTTCTTTTAATGCACTCTTTATATGACAAAGCTCATCTTTATTTTATATATATACCAAGTAGAGCCACCAGTCTTTAAAAGCAAAACCAGCTAACAAAATTAGCTAATATTACAAAATTATCTAAATAGTTCATTATAAACTTATGTTTGTTGAATATAAACTTTGAAGTAGTCATAAGCTCGTCTATCATTTCAGTGAGTTCTCCAGTCATCATCTAGAATATGCATATATCAGTTTAAAGAACAAAAAAGTAAACTTGCAAATTTCGCATCTTAGCACAATGTTGCTAGGGCTATTTTAGATGCTAATAAAATTCGGTGGCTTTGATACCGAGATAAAAAATCAGTTATTAAAATCTAAAAAAATAAAAAAGGCTTCGTCATGAAAAAAAAAAAAGAAAAAAAGCACATTAATAGGAATCCAATAAATTTAATATTTTATTTTTGTGATTGAATTATTTTATTTGTTTAAAAGATATTGTGGTTGAATTTATATATTTTTTTACTATTACAATATGTCATCTCATCTGCATTATTATGTTTGCAATTAGACTTGCATTAGACATCCCAATAAAATATGGGTTACATACTCCTGTTCGATCATCGTGTCTTTGTGTATAGTACATAGTGCCCTCTTATTATAAGCCATATCGATATGCGCGTTGACTATCTTAAATCAAGATATAAAAGTTTTATTCTAATAAATTTCTGAAACTTCATAATTTAAATAAATATCATCAAGGTATCTGTAAATAATTACAATTTTTTGACAATGAGTTCCTATGTCCAACAACAACATAATTATTCGGAGGATAAATTAAGTGACATTTATTTAGGTCAAACTCAAGGAAATCAACCTTTACAATCTAGCTTCGAAAACTTGAATGGTACCTTATCAGAAAAAGGGTCAGCAAAGATATCTCTTGTCGCTGGCAAAGATTTGAACGGATTTCAATCACGAACATCTGACATTGGTCGTGTCATTCCACAACAGGAGATTCTTTCTCGCATTGTCCCCTTTTGGGAAGTAAGTTCTTAAGAAAATTTTATTAAAATTTATTTTCTAAGAAATTTATTAATCTTTATCAATGAAATCTTTTAAAGTTATTTATCAGTAGTGTTGGTCTTTTTGGTTATCATATCATAAATTTAGCTGCTCATAATATCGGTGGCAAAAGACCTTATATCGTTCTTTTCCTTAATGGATGTAAATCAGAATTTCAACAACCAAATCTCGATGTGTGTGCAACATCGATTTTAACTTGGAGCTTGATTGGAGGGGGTTTGATATATTTTCTTTTGGCCTCAATATTATCCTGGCTTTTATATAAGGAATGTCATAGACATGGCTATCCTGGTGCATTCACAGCATTATGGAACTCTCCTTTTTTCCTCTTTTGCTACTTTTTCAAAGAACAAAACCGTATAGATCTTTTAACCATTCCTAATAGGTTTATGAAATTTAGAAAATGGACTTATTGGCAAATTCATAGATTCGCTTTGGCATTGTATTCATTGATAACTACGATTTTAGTTATATATTATTTAACAAGAAAAACTGTTGATAACGACGACCTTATAATACAAAAGGATTATAAAAATGGAGATGAGTTTTGTTAGTATCTTTTTAGCATCCTGCTGGTTTGCTATTTCTTTAAACTAATATTTCTGCTTTTTTTTGTTTAAAATAAAAATAAAAAATAGATCGCATTTATAATCCTTACTTCCTTCCTTATTACGGCGCTATCTACTTTTATTGTAAAACTATAATTTCTTCTGGAATAGATATCCGAAATCTTACTAATAACGATTCCTCAGTATTAGTTGGGATTCATTATATGCGCCAAAGAATTAAATAGACTTTCATTTTACAAACTTTTAATTTTCAATTTATTGATAATTCAAAATTTTGGGTTCTCTTTGTGACAATGTTATAAATGCGTTTGTTAATTTTAATAATATATGATTACACAACATCGAATCAATTAAATTTCTTTAATCGACGCCAAATAAAAGATGTATAAGTAATTGAAGAGATCTTAAATAGCATATTGGATGCGAAGTAAAATAATTCATTATCTAGCTGCGTAGCATTCAATAATAAGAATTATCTGCTTCACATCCTTCATCATCGAGCCAATTCACGATTCTCTTGTACAAATTCTTGCCAAAATACGTAGTATAAGTTGCATACTTTGTACCCCAGAAAATCGCATGTCAACACGCGTTAGTTAGTGACGATTTTATGATAATCTTCAAAAATCTTCTTGGGTGACCATATATGTATTCACCCAAAGCTCTTACCATCGAATGTATAAATTGGAAGCCCATCAAGGAGCTCCATGTTGATACTGTACATTAACGTGAGATGAGTATGAAAAAGCGGCAATAAATAAAAAGGCAAGGATGTAAATGTGATAACAAAATATTCTTATATACCTTTTTTATTGTTTTTTGTAATCGCAATCGTGATTCAATCAGGAATATGCCATATTTGGTGCGGTCTTCTAAATTCACCGGCACGTGACCACGTGCAAAAATACTATTCTTGATGGATCGGTAGTACTGGAGTTAAATACTAAGGTATTGTAACCGAGATTTACACAATTAGGATATCCGGTTAAAAGATATACTTGTATATGTATCAAATTAATACCTGCGTCAGATTAAACATCTGCCGTAGGTGTTATAGTGCTGTAGTGTTATACCTATATACTGTCTAACTTGTCTGTAAAATAAGTTGGTGAGTTTCAGTGAAATATGATGTCATTGAAGTAATCAACAATAATAACTCTTAAATCAAAACTAGACGATGAAAATTAACTGTGTATTGAAAAGATAAGTTAAATTTTATTTAGTGCTATGTTGAAATTGGTTGAGCGTTGTGTAGGGTTGGAAATTATACGGTATAATAAAATTTGGTATAAATACCAGGTTATTATACCGTATAATTACCGTATAATAACATTATATATAGAATTTTGCTATTTAATACCGGTGGTGATTATCACCGGTAACACAAACTATTATTTCACGTGATCACGATATGCATAATAACGGAGGATCTACGGACAGTTCTTAGGGGACAGATCTAACCCAGTATCGCCATAAAAATTTCGCCTCACGTGATCTGTGTTACATACGTATTTGAAGATCCTATTAATAAAATCGAAGTTTTTTTAAAACTTATAGCGATGTTTTCATAATAACTACTTGTTCAAATTTGGTAATTTTTTTTTTATTTTAATTTTAATGCTTTGCAGAATTAAAATAAAAAAAAATTCATCTAATTTGATTTAGTAGTTGTCAAGAAATCATTGCTATAAGTTTTAAAAACGCTTAAAATATCTTAAAAATACTAAGATCAGGTGAATTCTTTCTTCTTTAAACTTCAACCAAAACTTTCCTGCCACCCAACTATCCAAATTCAATGTTTTTTTATTTATTTTAATTCTGTGAATTTATAGAATTAAACTAAAAAAAAATTCAATCAATTTGAATAGCTGGTTGTTGAGAAATATTCATTAAAATTTAAAAAAAATTTGGCCACAGTTTCTTATTAAAGACATCCGAACTTTAAACAAAAATTACTTGGCACTTACTTGATAAAATTTGATCAATTTTTTTTTATTTTAATTTTAAGATTCTATAGAATTAAAATAAAAAAAATTGATCTAATTTGATCAGGTAAGTGCTGGGTAGTCTTCATTTAAATTTAGATACCTATAGAAGAAAGCTGCAGTCATATTTTTTTTAACTTTTTAATGAGTTTTTATTTTAATATAATTGATCAATTTATTAAATATACAAATTTCACAATAAATGAATTACTTATAAAATTAGATACAAAAATTTACATAATTAAAAAATTTTAAAAATAAAGTAAAAGATTATAATATAATCATAGATAACATAAAGTATAAAGATCAAACCCGTATTGATATATTAAATATCAGCCGTTTGAGTGTATGGTTTTCTTTGAAATAGCTCTGGGGCAATGTAAAGCAAGACATCATTAATATGATCTTGATCTTTCTCATCAAGCAGCTTTGATAAACCTAGATCGGTAATATATGCTTCATAATCTTCTTTTAACAAGATATTTCCCGGATGTAAATCTTGATGTAAATATCTTTTATAATAAATATAATTAAGATTAGATATAATATTATGAAGTATCTGTAATTTAATTTTCAATCCAAACTTAAAAATATCAGCAAGATTTTTGTTTAATGATCTATATTTTGCATAACTCGTTACTAAAATATAATCGTCTTTTTTTTTATCTGTATTTTAAGCTGAATATTTTATTTATTTTTAATATTTATATTAAGGATTCCAGAGCATCAATTAACTTATATTAATTTAGATTATTTCTATTTTTCAGATACTATAAAAAAAGATACTATAGTCATTATATCCACAAACTAATTAATGCAAATAAATAAATTAAATAAAGTAATAAATAAAATAGAATAGTAAAATATTAAAATGCTGTAAATTAATACGTAAATAAAGTAGTTAATTTAATAACTTATTTTAAATAGATCGATTAATTAATACAAGTTTTGATATACGTAAAGTCAAACCAATATAGTTAGATTATTTGATTTAATAATTTATATATACCAAGCTATTTATTTTAGAAAAGTGCAACTTTTATTAATATCTTTCAAAAGTATATATTTAAAATATATATACTTATACTATACATAATTTTTAATTAAAAAATAATGTATTATATGAATGATCTTTAAATGTTCGAGCCATTGTTTTTCTTTGTTTGTATGAATTAATTTTATCTACCATTTTTTCTAATGGTTTAAAATTTTTTTCCACGTTTTTTATCTATTTAAAATTTTTTTTACTTTGTTGGTCTTCAAGAATTTCAAGAGTTTTCTTAGTTGTGCTTATAAGTTGATTATACAATTCCTCTGAATCTTGCATATCTTCAGCATTTTCAGTAGCTTCAATATTTTCGATAACTTCAGCATTCTCTGTAGCTTCAATATTTTCAATAACTTCAGCACTTTCAATGACTACAGAACTCATCGTATTATAAGAAATTGGCATAGCCAAAGTGTTAAGAAATGGGTATTGATGGTAATGATAAACTCTATCAAAAAATTCAATCGGCACAGTTCCTTTTTGTTGTACAAGATGTTTACAAATAAGGAAACAACTTGTTAAAAAGGATGAACATCCATATACCCAATTTAATATATCAGTAAAATAGGTATTTTGAATTACACAAGCTTCTAATTTCTTCTATTCTTTTTTGAAGGCTTTACGCTATTCTGCTTTTTCAATGCCAATCAGAATTTGCTTAAATTTTCTTTGTTGCTGTGGAATTACTTGCATCATAATAATATAAACTACTAAGTTCAAACATGGACAAAAAAATTTATACAGAAAATCACGCTTTAATACCTTCCAGTGTGACTCTACAAACATATTTGTTTTAAAGATTGAAATTTTTGTACTATGACCTGCACGTAACCATAAGCTCCAGTGTTCTGAACTATACCATTCATTCCATAAATATACCCAAAGATATATTAATAAATGTTGGTAGCAAAAATTATAAATTTCTTGCACAGATATTGTCCAAATTTCTTGTGCTGTTAGATATCAACTATCATTGGTAGGTATTAAAGGATGTAAATATAAATGATGATTCATCATCTCCCATATAGCTCCACAAAATTGCTTAGGGCAAAAAATATAATTCACAGTATTAAGTTGTGGACGAAATTCAGAATCAATAAAATGAAATTGATTATGTGCTATTTGACTATTATAATTGATTTGCTTTAGTTTAGTATTATTTGAAAGTCTAGTCTCAACGGCCCTTTTAATATACCAAAGGCATATTTGAATTTTAATATTTTTCCATACAAATTTAGCAGCTGATATTTAAGAAAAATCCTTGTCTGTCAAAAAAAATTCAGGATTAAGCCCAAGCAAATATAATTCATAAAAAAAGTCAACTAAAACACTTGTACATATTCCATTATTACAATTTCCATTATTTTCAAGAAATAAATATGCTAGTGAATATCCGCTTCTATCAACTTGTGCATGAACAACATATAATTCAAATCTTAGATTATTTGTATTGTCTTTATTAACAATAAATAGTAAGTTTAATAAATAATAATAATACATTATTTTATAATAGTGTAAATAATAAATAATATACTTACAAGTCGAATCAACCCCAATTTTATCAATTTGAATATTAGAACTTTTAATAATTTCCCACATTCTAGTTAAAAATCCTAGTGCCTGAGGTGAGTTTTTTTGAATTATTATTTGATATGCATTTTCTATCAACCATTTTTGCGCTGAAATAAATGCATCATCATCATGTTTATATCGTTTTTTACCAAGTTCAGTCCACCAAAAATAAATTTGTTTTTGGTATATATTCATGCTTAAATCTTGCATTACTAAATGTCTATATATTTCACGTGGAAGTAAATCAATATTTTCTAAAATATACTGTTTTATTTCTAAAGAAATTGAATTATCTAAGCAAAGTGGATGAAGATGATAATATATTTCAATATTAGCAAAAGTAAAATCTTGAGAAATCGTAATTGTGACTTGTCCTTTACAAGAAAAATGTTCAATTGATTGTCTATCACGGCATTTATTAACATCAATATGTTTTTTTGGCTTCTCAGCCAAACAATCCCTTTGCGAACAATAATAAATATAAGTTATTGAATTTGACTTTTTGACATTATATTTCAGATGATATCTAAATAATTAAAATCATTTATTAAATATAAAATTATTTAAAATTAAACTTTATAATCAAAATAATTTAACTTACATCCATTTATATTTGTCTACATCTGATATTACTTCAATTATTTGATTTGTTCATTCTTTAGAATTACCTTCTAATGTAGAAATATTTATAATACAGGAAAATTCAAACTCTAAAGGCCTTAGATTTTTTTGATTCTTATCTACTATTTCATCTTCGAATGAGTCAAAAAATTGCATAATATGGTCATAAAAATCATGAAAATCTACAATTATTTCATTATTATATTCTTTGGAGTGCTTTTTATTTTTATTTTTTTTGTCTTGAGTGTGGCACAAATTACAAGTACAAAATGTTTTATTATTATCAATGAACAAACTACAAGGATGATCTTTATCACATCCTTTGCAATATTGTTCTGTGTTGTTATTATTATTAGTATTTATTTGAAGAGGAATTAGATCTATTTTTATAGCACTTTACAGAAATTAGCATACCCAAGAAAAAAGATAAAACGAAAATTTTTGATATTTATA